TCTTTCGTCCAAACTTCTTTTCGCAGTGAGAACAATCAAAAGGCTTCTCTCCAGTGTGAGTTATTACATGAAGTGTCAAATCTTTCTTTCGTCCAAACTTCTTTTCGCAGTGAGAACAATCAAAAGGCTTCTCTCCAGTGTGAGTTATTACATGAAGTGTCAAATCTTTCTTTCGTCCAAACTTCTTTTCGCAGTGAGAACAATCAAAAGGCTTCTCTCCAATGTGAGTTCTTACATGACGTGACAAATCGCTCTTTCGTCTAAACTTCTTTTCGCAGTGAGAACAATCAAAAGGCTTCTCTCTAGTGTGAGTTCTTACATGACGTGTCAAATCGTTCTTTCGTGCAAACATTTTTCCGCAGTGAGAACATTCAGAAGGCTTCGAGTGAATTCTTAAATGACTTCTGAAATCTCTCTTTTGTCCAAACGTCTTTTTGCATTGGGAGCACTCAAATGGTTTCTCTTCATTGTGAGTTAGTCTTACATGACGTTTCACATTGTACGCTGTTGTAAACATCTTTTTGCAGTGAGAACATTTAAAAGACTTCCTTCTACTATGACTTCTAACATGACGTGTCAAATCTCTCTTTTGTCCAAATCTCCCTTGACTTTGAAAATAATTTAAYGTTTTCTCTCCAGTGTGAGTTCTTTCGTGAGAAGTTAAACTGGACTTCACTGCAAATTTCTTCTTGCAGTGGGAACATTCAAAGGGTTTCTCTCCAGTGTGAATTCTAACGTGGCGAGTCAGATGATCCCTTCTTGTGAACTTCTTTAAGCAATAACAACACATAAAGTGTTTCTTTCCTTTATAGCGGGATTTATTGCTTAATTTCTTCTTTAAATGAGTTGAACTAGCTGGTTCTAGACTGTTGTCTTTACTTGCAGGCTCTACCAAGTGGTTCAGGTCATTTCTGCCTTTTTCCTGAAGTTCAGTTTCAATGCACACATTGGTGGGAAAATTGATTGTTTTACCAATGCCTTTATTTATGTTGTCCACCAAATCAAGAGGTTCCTGTCCATCTCGYTCTTGAAGCATGCTTYTCCCATTCATCTCACTGTCTTTATTGCAATCTCCAATGCTTTCCYCGACACATCTTTCTTCAAGAAGGTTTAACATTGCATCAATTACATCCATGTGTTGCGTTTCCTCACTGCCATCATCCATTCTATCATCAATACCAGGGTAATTAATGTCCAAGTCATTTCCAGCTTTATTTAAAACAACGAGGTCTTGTTCTGGTGATGTTCCTGTACTGTTCATAAGGTGACCTGTTTTAATGTACATGGAAGTACAGCCATTATTGCAGGCTCCATCATCGTCTGTCTGTGTACCAATACTATGTACCTCTTTGTAGATAACTGGCTGACCAATCATTACACARCTCTCTTCTGTTGAACACTGAAATGATGCAAAATTCCTAATTAAATTAACGCTMGCAGGTCGCAAAATGCTGATATSACTATCATAGATAACTGAAGAGGATTCAGAAAGTAATAGGAAATTCAAATANAGCTAGAGCATGTTAATTGCTTGTTAAAATCTGACTCAGAATTCACAGAGAGTGAAAACATGCCATTAATGTCTGTAAATTTGTATTTTCAGTTTGATTCACAGTATTTTTTCTCGAATCATGAAATTGGGGACGTCTGGTGCAACAGTGGCACTTGCGCCAGCCCTGGTAGAGACATACAGTCGACTGCTCGTGTACATGGAAATAGAGTCTCTTGGAATCAAAGGCTTTATCAGTAAGTATAGGTGATGTTTCGAGACCATCTTCATAAGCTTTCAAACACTTTTCTCGACCTCTTTTCAAACAATAATTGTAATTGTCACCGACAGCTCAACAATTAATTGGGAGACTCGTAATATTAAAAACCACAATTTTTATTATTATTGTTATTATATTTTGTTGTCGTTTCATAAGTTTTCATGTAGGAAAAATTGCGAAGAAAGGAACGAGCGCGCGCTAACATGATAAAAGCGATATAGAAGTGATATAGAAGTTCTTCTAGAGGTATCTGCAAAGTAAGGAGCTTTTGCTAGTGCTTGATGGCATTTTTTCCCTCAGGTCATTTACTTCCAACTGTATTCAAGAGCCATGCATGGGGAATACTTCATACATTATTAGAGATGTTCAGCTATCGTCTCCAYCACATTCAACCAGTTTATCGAGTWACTCTTCTCTCACATCTCCATTCCATCGCTAGTGTGCCTAACACCAATCAAAACCAACTTCAACTTTGGTATGTGTTTGTATTAATAAAATTTTTTTTTTTCATTTTCGTTTTGACTTCATGCTCTTGTATCGTTTTATTCTCTCTTCTTAATTTKCTCATTCTTTCTTCCCATCAACTTACTTTATTCTGTCTTTCTTTCCTTCACTTTCTTYACATCCTTCCATCCATCCTTACACCATAGATGGCAATACACGCAAGTTGTAGTRCTGAGAAGTACTCTATTCTWTTTTTTKGTAYTTTTGTTTTTCCTTGCGGAAGATCTTTGGAAATAACTTCGRAATTTCTGCAAWTYTCTTATTGTTCTTTCTAACCAMTTTTTCCTCCCATTCTTCGATTATGCGTTCCACTTATCCACAWTTTCCATTTTRTRATGTTTCTWATATATRATATTGTGCTTGTAGTGTGGAAAGTACCGCACTTCGTCTCATCACTGGTCTAGGCAGTTCTGAAGTGCAGGCACAATTAACRAAGTTTTTAACAGAACCGAAACAGGTTTGTATCTTATTAACTGATATCACGTATTGTCTAATATAAAATTATAGTCTCTTCATCGGGCAACCTTCCTGGCTTTTTCAATTCAATTCCTTTGCTTTGGGTTTCCTGTGGCTTAGACGCAAATACCGTGCTCTTTCCACAGGAGCCCGAAGAGAGACTATGATAAAATATGAATACGAAGGTCGGAAATTAATTTTTCCGAATTTATTCCTAAGGGACTTCTCCCGGAATTGCCTCCTTCTAAGCACTATGGCTTTCTTTCCTTTCTATATTATGATAAAATATTTTGAACGGTATATGAACTGTGATGCTAAATGAAGTAGGCACTCGAAATGTTTCTTTTGTCATACAAGAAAATGTTGGCCTTATATAAAGAGGAACTTGACATCGATTTCTCCATTACAATGGGATGGGCTGTTGGGTGAGGGTCCTTCCCAAAGAGTATGCACAAAATGTCTCTTACTTGATATATATTAATATTCTTTAATAGATTCTCTCGTCGGAATCGGAAGAACTCAACCGTGCTTTAGTTCTTACAATCGCTAGATCAATGCATGTTACAGGTRAGCTGAAGTACGCCTCCAAAAGATTTTGAAATATTTAAAAGCTCGATAACCATAACGGATATTGATCTTTATCGTCGATTTGTCATTATTTTCATTCACTATTTTCTCAGATACATCCATCAGTTTTAGTGGAACTTTTTCAAATTTCTACATTTTGAGTCTACTCCATACGCCAAAGCTTACTAGTACCAAAGCGAATTTATCTTTCTCTTGCTCATTATAATCGCATTTACAACAGTTTGCGCGGCACGTTTTGGACTTTGGTCCCTGCTTGCCAAAATGGACTCGGTATCGTCGAAGTAGTCCATTGTAACTTGATAGATTTTTTTCCTGAAAACATTTTGTTTCTCATTCTTTTTCTTTCCTTCTACTTTTCCTTTTCTTTCTTCCACTTATCTTTTTTTGTTTCTGCCCGACAATCGGTTGAAAAAACATAGTAGACAAGTTCATTATTTACTTCGATTTTATTGCGATTCCGTTATTTGGTTTTGCAGCAGTGTCAGTTGTCRCTAGCTGGTAATATTWAGTCCATTACTTTCATTCTATTCTAAACCTGTGCTTGGTTTGCTGTAGGTGCTGAGTCTTGTGGTAACTGGTGTGAAGGCATCTTACGCGTTTTAGTGTCTAACACACCACACAGGTTTGTCAAATCTCATTTATAGTTTTAAAAAACGTTATTGCAAGGTATGCACTCAATTTATCATTGAGTC